CAAGAGGGTAGCCTGGCTCCTGGAAGGTAGTCTGTCTCCTGGAGGGTAGCCTGGCTTATAGAAGGTAGCCTGGCTCCTGGAGGGTAGCCTGGCTCCTGGAAGGTAGCCTGGCTCCTGGAGGGTAGCCTGGCTCCTGGAGGGCAGCCTGGCTCCTGGAAGGTAGCCTGACTTCTGGAGGGTAGCCAGACTCCTGGAAGGTAGCCTGGCTAATGGAAGGTAGCCTGGCTCCTGGAGAGTATTCTGGCTCCTGGAATGTATTCTGGCTCCTGGAGGGAAGCCTGGCTCCTGAAAGGTAGCCTGGCTCCTGGAGGGTAACCTGGCTCCTGGAGGGTAGCCTGGCTCCTGGAGGGTAACTTGGCTCCTGGAAGGTAGCCTGGCTCCTGGAGGGTAGCCTGGCTTCTGGAAGGCTGGGGGAAGGGCCCTGGGGTTGGGGGCCCTTTTGGGGCCCTGGGGTTGGAGGGGCCCTGGGGTTGGGGGCCCGGGGGGGGCCCTGGGTTGGGGGCCCTGGGGTTGGGGGCCCTGGGGTTTAAAGGGCCCTGGGGTTGGGGGCCCTGGGGTTTGGGGCCCTGGGGGGGTTGGGGGGGGTTTTGGGGGGGGTTTTGGGGGGGTTGGGGGGGGTTGGGGGGGGGGGGGGAAAGGGGGGGGGGTTTTGGGGGGGGCCCCCCCCGGGGGGGTTTTGGGGGGGTTTTGGGGGGGGTGGGGGGGGGGGGGGGGGGGGTTTTTGGGGGGGGGGAAAAAGGGGGTTTTGGGGGGGGTTGGGGGGGTTTTGGGGGGGGGTTTTGGGGGGGTTTTAAATGGGGGCCTTGGGGTTGGGGGCCCGGGTTTTGGGCCCGGGGTTGGGGCCGGGGGTTTGGGGCCCTGGGGGGGGCCCTGGGTTGGGGGCCCGGGGTTGGGGCCCCTGGGGTTTGGGGGCCCTGGGGTTTAAAGGGCCCTTTTGGGGGCCCTGGGGTTTAAAGGGCCTGGGGGGCCTGGGGGCCCGGGGTTTGGAAGGGCCCTGGGTTTGGGGGGCCCTGGGGTTGGGGGCCTGGGGGGGCCCCCTTTGGGGGGGCCCTTGGGGTTGGGGGCCCTTTGGGGGCCCTTGGGGTTTGGGGCCCTGGGGAAAGGGGCCCTGGGGTTGGGGCCTGGGGGGGGTTTGGGGGGGCCCCTGGGTTGGGGGCCCGGGGGGGGGGGGGGCCCCCCCCCGGGGGGGGCCCCTTGGGGTTTAAACCCCCCCCCCCCCCCCCCCGGGGGGGCCCCCGGGGGGGGCCCCCGGGGGGGAAAACCCGGGGGGGGGGGGGGGCCCCCCCCCGGGGTTTAAACCCGGGGGGGGCCCCCGGGGGGGGCCCCCAAAAGGGGGGGGGGGGGGGGGCCCCCGGGGGGGGGCCCCCGGGGGGGCCCCCCCCGGGGGGGGGGGGCCCCCCCCAAAAAAAAGGGGGGGGGGGGGGGGGCCCCCGGGGGGGGCCCCCGGGGGGGGGGGGGGGCCCCCCCCCCGGGGGGGGCCCCCGGGGGGGCCCCCGGGGGGGAAAGGGGGGGGCCCCCGGGGGGGGGGGGGGCCCCCCCCCCGGGGGGGCCCCCCCTTTTTCCGGGGGGGTTTTCCGGGGGGGGCCCCCGGGGGAAAACCCCGGGGGGGGCCCCCGGGGGGGGCCCCCCCCCTTTTGGGGGGTAGGGGGGTTTTGGGGGAATTGGCCCCCAAAGGGTGGCCCCGGGGGTAGGGCCCCCTTGGGGGGAATTGGCCCCCAAAGGAAAACCCCCGGGGGAATGGCCCCCGGGGAGGGTGGGGGGGAATGGCCCCGGGGGGGTTGGCCCCCGGGGGAATTGGCCCCCGGGGGGGTTGGCCCCCGGGGGAGGGTTCCCCCGGGGAGGGGCCCCCAAAATCCCCGGGGAATGGCCCCCGGGGAAATGGCCCCGGGGGAATGGAAGGGGAAAGGGTGGCCCCCAAAGGGGGGGGAAGTGGCCCCGGGGAGGGTTTTGGGGGGGAATGGCCCCCAAAGGGTGGCCCCCAAGGGGGGAATGGCCCCCGGGGGTAAGGGGTTTTGGGGGAGGGGCCCCCGGGGAATGGCCCCGGGGAATGGCCCCAAAATGGGGGGATTGGGGGGAAAGGGGCCCCGGGGAAAGGCCCCCAAGGAAGGGTGGCCCCGGGGGAAATGGCCCCCGGGGAGGGTGGCCCCCGGGGAAGGGCCCCCGGGGGGGGGGTGGCCCCCAAATGGCCCCCAAATTGGCCCCCAAAATTGGCCCCCAAAGGGTCCCCCGGGGAATGGCCCCCGGGGGGTAGGGGGGTTTTTGGGGGAATTTTTGGGGGAGGTTTTTGGGGGAATTTTTAAAAATGGCCCCCGGGGGAATGGGGGAATGGCCCCCGGGGGAATGGCTTTTGGGGAGGTTTTTGGGGGAGGTTTTTAAAAGGGGCCCCCGGGAAATGGCCCCCGGGGAGGGTGGCCCCCGGGGAGGGTCCCCCGGGGAATGGCCCCGGGGAATGGCCCCCGGGGAATGGCCCCCTTTTTTGGGGGGAATTGGCCCCCGGGGAAATTCCCCCGGGGAATTGGGGGAGGGTGGCCCCCAAAGGGGGGGAAATGGCCCCCGGGGAGGGTTGGCCCCCGGGGAATTGCCCCCGGGGAATTGGCCCCCGGGGAAGGGGCCCCCGGGGAATGGCCCCCGGGGGAGGTTTTTGGGGGGAATTTTTGGGGGGAGGGGCCCCGGGGAATGGCCCCCAAATGGGGGGAATTTTTTGGGGAGGGTGGCCCCCAAAAGGGGCCCCCGGGGAAATTTTTAAAGGGTTGGCCCTTTTGGGGAATTCCCCCAAAGGGTGGCCCCGGGGGAATCCCCCAAAAAGGGCCCCGGGGGAATGGCCCCGGGGGAGGGTTTTTGGGGAATGGCCCCCGGGGAATTGGCCCTTTGGAAGGGTTTTGGGGAAGGGCCTTTGGGGGGGGCCTTTTAAAGGGTTTGGGGAAGGGTTTGGGGGAAGGGCCTTTGGGGAAGGGTTTTTTGGGGGGCCCTCCCCGGGGGGCCCTTTGGGGAAGGGCCTTTGGGGGAAGGGCCTTTGGGGAAGGGCCTTAAAGGGGGGTTTGGGGAAGGGCCTTTGGGGGGGTTTGGCCTTTGGGGAAGGGCCTTTAAGGGGGGCCCAAGGGGAATTAACCCCCGGGGAGGGTGGCCCCCGGGGGAATGGCCCCCGGGAGGGTGGCCCCCAAACCCCGGGGGGGCCCCCCGGGGTTTAAATTTTTGGGGAAAACCCCGGGGGGGCCCCCCCCCCCCCCCGGGGGGGGCCCCCGGGGGGGAAAACCCGGGGGGGGCCCCCCCTTTTTTGGGGGGGGGCCCCCGGGGTTTAAAACCCCGGGGGGGGGGGGGGGCCCCCCCCCCGGGGGGGGCCCCCGGGGGGGGCCCCCGGGGGGGGCCCCCGGGGGGGGGGGGGGCCCCCCCCCCGGGGGGGGGGGGGCCCCCCCAAACCCCGGCCCCCCCCCCCCCCCGGGGGGGAAACCCGGGGGGGGCCCCCCCCCCCCCCGGGGGGGGGGGGGGGGCCCCGGGGGGGGCCCCCCCCCCGGGGGGGGGAAAAACCCCGGGGGGGCCCCCCGGGGGGGGGGGCCCCCCCCGGGGGGGGGGGGGAAAACCCGGGGGGGGGCCCGGGGGTTTTCCCTTGGGGGGGGGGGGGGGAAAAATTTTTGGGGGAAGGGGGGGGAAAGGGGGGGGGGGGGGGGCCCCCCAAACCCCCGGGGGGGGCCCCCTTTTGGGGAAAGGTTCCCCCAAAAACCCGGGGGGTTTTGGGGGGGGGGGGGCCCCCGGGGGGGTTGGCCTTAAGGGGAAGGGCCCTTTTTTTTGGGGGGGGGGGGGGGGCCCCCGGGGGGGGGGGGGGGGGGGGGGGCCCCTGGCCCGGAAGGGGTTGGCCCGGGGGGGGGGTTTGGGGTGGCCCGGGGTTGGGGTTCCCTTTGGGGGGGGGGTTAAGGTAGCCTGGCTCCTGGAAGGTAGCCTGGCTCCTGGAGGGTAACTTGGCTTTGGGAGTTCTGAGTGTCTGGGATTTAATAGAATTATTGTGCAGACAATAAAATAATTGATAAAATATATATTTGTAAGAGGTTCACTGGAGGGTAACCTGTGACCCTCATTTTATATTATTTATTTCTTTAAACACTTTCAGTAAAATAACAGAGTTGGGAAACAATGTTAATATGTTAATCACATTAATGCAATGTCACATCTTTTCAATTATAGCAGTGATTTTTATAAATTAATAATTAATTACATATAATATTGATAAAGGTATTACGAAGTATATATTTTATAAACTCAAATTTTTTTATGTTATACAACCTTCCAATAAATCTTTATTAGAATTTTTTGCCTATTTTGAAATAATTTGTTGTATTTTATTGGTGTCACATATGAAGTTTAATGTTTCTGTTATATAACTATTAGACTAAAGAGGTGTCAGTTCTGCTTCCTTAATCAAACAGCACACTACAGGTAGGTTTTATATAATTACATTGATTAATTATTGTCTATTCGTGATATTAAATAAGAGATCATTTGGAGGAAGTAAAAAATTCTGGATATCAAATAATGTATATATTTGTTAGGCACCACTTATTATGTATCACATCAAAGATATAATTCAAAAGAATTGAAATTCAGACGTCTATTTTATTCTCATATGAGTTTTTTACATCTCATTATCATGCATGGAGAGGAATCCCAACTTGCACATCAGCAGATGGGAATCCAAACCTTAACAAATGAGCGATAGCTAACATAATATCTTATGTGTCAAGTTAGCACTGAACTAAACTACTTTCGAATTAATGTGACAATGGTCTACCAGAGGAGACAGCTCCCCCTCCTGCTACAGTCCGGTAAGGGACTTGCCTGAGAAGTCTATTTTTTTTTCATTAATGAGCAGTTAGTAAGTCCTTCAGAAAAGCCTGGTAGACTGCATCCTAATGATACCCGATCAAGTGGAAAACTCAACTCTCACTTCATGATGTTACATTACAATTGATGAGGGTTTTTATATGGCAGGAACTGGCTGATGGTAAACACTAATCGCTGTATACTGGTTGAATAACGGTAGAGTTAAAACATGGAAAAACAGGCCAGCCGGTTGGGTCCGGGTAGACGATGATGCCTCTACCAAGGAAGGCGCTGACGAAGCTGTAGGTTCCGTAAGTTATCACATGGTGATCTCCGAGGGACAGCATTACCAGGTCTGAGACAGGATCACTACTTCCTGTAAATGCGTCTTTGTGACAGTTATTATGTACAACTACAATTAGTTATATACAGCAGACGATAAGTCACAATAACGTGACTCAAGACATGATGACCAAACCACTCACTAGACGATGAAGAGGATTATGTTTCGGTCCGTCCTGGACTCATTATCAAATCGTGTGGACTTGATAAAGATCAAGATTAGACTTAATCAAGAAGTAGGACCCACGACTTGATAAAGGTCCTGGACGGGACGAAACGTCGTCGTTTCTTCATTTTCTGAAGTGTGGTTTGGTCATCATGTCAGACAAACGTTTCAGATCAAAATAAGCCAAGTCAAAATATTTTGTGTAGAAAGATTTCTCAGCGTTTTGGCCGAGACGTTACAAATTATAAAGTCCATCGCTAAAATATTTTAAACAATTACATTCAACTGTGATGGATTTAAACACCGAATGAATAAATATGTCAAAACTTATTTTGTTATGTGCTGATATTCTTCGGCAACACCACTGCCTAAAATTTAATGAATTTGAAAACCTCTCTAAATTTGTTGACAATTCTTTTTACATCAGCGCTGAAATGTGTGATGACTGGAAAGGTCCTGGAAGACCCTATGGTGGTACTGCTATCCTCAGCCATAACAACATGCAGTATAAAGTTTGAGAGAAGTATTTTCCTTTGAAAGAACGAGTTAGAGTTAGCACAGAGTCAGATGAGTTCGAGGTAAACATAAGTAGGAAGCGGGAGATGAAGAAGGCCCTCAGTCGCCTTCTGACTAAGGAAAGAGAGAACGTCATCAAGGGGAACATTAGTAAACAGAGTCAAATGGGAATGATGCAAGACTAAGCATCTTACATGCGGGCTGCAGTCTTAGTCTTTCTATGAAGTCTGAGAGTGACGAAGGTGGGCAGGAGAAAAAGTGCCCAAGATAAGGAGTAAGAGTTTTAGTAAGCCAAGAGGAAAGGGGGATAACTGACAGAGCCCTCTTGAAGAAATGATGAGACGAAGAGGAAGACCAGGTTTATGAGTATTTGGAAGACCTTAGAAATAAGGAAGAGAGGAGCAGATGACACGGAAACGTTTAATAAGATCGAAGTCAGGAGGACACAGACTTGAGAGCTGTCTTAGTTTGCGGTTGAAGGAAGTTTTAAGACGATCCATAGGGTAGAAGTCAGAGGATCATAAGTGCGGGAGTCAGAGAGCAAGACATCAGTTTTCTGGAGGTAGTTCACACGGTCATGGACAACCACCGGATTGTCTTTGTCGGAAGGAAGTGTAAGAATAGAGTTGTTAGCTTTCAGGGAGGCAAGGGCGACGAGGAAGGTGGTGATTTTTGTGAAAAAAAACTGTCAAGAACGGAGGATAAGGGCCTTCCTGAGGGCAGACTGGTCTGAAAAAGTACTAGTTAGAATTTACAAACTTATCACAGGAAGTTTTGAGGTCAATGCGACAGCGAGGGCTAGGGGAAGTAGCAAAAGAGAGACCAAGTCCGAGAAGTTCTTCCTGGTGCTTTAAGAGAGAGAAAGAAGAAAGACTGGTAACACAATCAGAGAGAGTATAGTGTCAACTCCCAGTTTATAGTGTCCTACATATCACAAAGTGCCAAACTTCATAGTCTCAGTGTCATACATACCCTGATGTATATATATGAATGTATATAGTATGTCATGAATATAGCCCAACCAATACTACCCCCACCTCCAAAACCGACCCATCCCCCCCTCAAGGACACCCTCACCAACCGGCGCACCTCACTACCTGCGTTGATCCTCACCTCCTAGCCTACACACCCACCTGTTGCTGGTGTCAAAATCCCTAGCTGATACCTCCATACCCACCTGTTGCTGGTGCCCCCACCCCCAGCTGTTTCTGGTGCCCCTACACCCAGCTGTTGCTGGTGCCCCCAACCCCAGCTGTTGACTCCACACCCAGCTATTGCCCGTGCCCCCATACCCAGCTGTTGCCTCCACACCCACGTGTTGCTGGTGCCCCTACACCCAGCTGTTGCCCCTACCCCCAGCTGTTACCTCCACACCCAGCTATTGCTCGTGCCCCCACACCCACCTGTTGCCCCCCTACACCCACGTGTTGCTGGTTCCCCCACACCCGTCTGTTGTTGGTGCCCCCACACCCACCTGTTGCTGTTGCCCCAACTCCCACCAGTTACTGGTGCCCCAACACCAAACTGTTACTGGTGCCCCCACACCCAGCTGTTGCCCCAACACCCACCTGTTGTTGGTGCCCCCACACCCACCTGTTGCTGGTGCTCCCATTCCCACCTGTTGCTGGTGCCTCCACACCCAGCTGTTGCTGGTGCCCCCACACCCACCTGTTGCCCCCACACCCAGCTGTTGCTGGTGCCCCACACCCAGCTGTGCTGGTGCCTTCACACCCAGCTGTTGCTGGTGCCCCCAAACCCACCTGTTGCCTCCACACCCAGCTGTTGCCCCACACCCAGCTGTTGCCCCACACCCAGCTGTTGCCTCCACACCCACCTGTTGCTGGTGCCCCAACGGCCAACTGTTGCTGGTGCCCCCACACCCATCGGATGCTGGTGCCCCCACACCCAGCTGTTGCCCCACACCCAGCTGTGCTGGTGCCTTCACACCCAGCAGCTGCTGGTGCCCCCAAACCCACCTGTTGCCTCCACACCCAGCTGTTGCTGGTGCCCCACACCCACCTGTTGCTGGTGCCCCAACGGCCAACTGTTGCCCCCACACCCATCGGATGCTGGTGCCCCCACACCCAGCTGTTGCTGGTGCCTCTACACCCAGCTGTTACTGGTACCTCTACCCTCAGCTGTTGCCTCCCACCCACCAGTTGCTGGTGCCCCCACACCCACCTGTTGCTAGTGTCCCCACCCCCAGCTGTTGCTGGTGCCCCTACACTCAGCTGTTGCTGGTGCCCCCACACCCACCTGTTGCCCCAATCCCCAGCTGTTTTTGGTGCCCCCACACCCACCTGTTGCTGGTGCCCCTACACTCAGCTGTTGCCCCCACACCCACCTGTTGCTGGTGCCCCTACACTCAGCTGTTGCTGGTGCCCCCACACCCAACTGTTGTTCCCACACCCACCAGTTGCTGGTGCCCCTACACCCACCTGTTGCCCCCATACCCAGCTGTTCCTGGTGGCTCCACACCCAGCTGTTGCTGGTGCCTCCACACCCACCTGTTGCTGGTGCCCCCACACCCACCTGTTGCTGGTGCCTCCACACCCACCTGTTGCTGGTGCCTCCACACCCAGCGGTTGCTGGTGCCCCCACACCCAGCTGTTGCCCTCACACCTAGCTGTTTCTAGTGCCCCCACACCCACCTGTTGCTGGTGCCCACACACCCAGCTGTTGCTGGTGCCCACACACCCACCTGTTGCTGGTGCCCTCACACCCACCTGTTGCTGGTGCCCACACACCCAGCTGTTGCTGGTGCCCTCACACCCACCTGTTGCTGGTGCCCACACACCCACCTGTTGCTGGTGCCCTCACACCTAGCTGTTTCTGGTGCCCACACACCCACCTGTTGCTGGTGCTCTCACACCTAGCTGTTTCTGGTGCCCACACACCCACCTGTTGCTGGTGCCCACACACCCACCTGTTGCTGGTGCCCACACACCCACCTGTTGCCCACACACCCACCTGTTGCTGGTGCCCACACACCCACCTGTTGCTGGTGCCCACACACCCACCTGTTGCTGGTGCCCACACACCCACCTGTTGCTGGTGCCCTCACACCCACCTGGTGCTGGTGCCCACACACCCACCTGTTGCTGGTGCCCTCACACCTAGCTGTTTCTGGTGCCCCCAAACCCACCTGTTGCTGGTACCCACACACCCAGCTGTTGCTGGTGCCCACACACCCAGCTGTTGCTGGTGCCCACACACCCACCTGTTGCTGGTGCCCACACACCCACCTGTTGCTGGTGCCCATACACCCACCTGTTGCTGGTGCCCACACACCCACCTGTTGCCCACACACCCACCTGTTGCTGGTGCCCACACACCCACCTGTTGCTGGTGCCCACACACCCACCTGTTGCTGGTGCCCACACACCCACCTGTTGCTGGTGCCCACACACCCACCTGTTGCTGGTGCCCACACACCCACCTGTTGCTGGTGCCCACACACCCACCTGTTGCTGGTGCCCACACACCCACCTGTTGCCCCCACACCCATTTTGGTTTGTATATACATAAAGGTTGCTTATACTGAATCGTGATAAAGGACTTAGATTTCAATATTAGTATTTCATTTTTGATTGTATGAGCAAATAATATTTAGGTTTGAATATAAATATCGACAGTGCTGAACATGTGAAATCTACCAGTGAAATTATTGTATGACATTTGGGTAGCTATTTTGATTCAATGCGAGAACAGTGTATCATGATTTTTGTTGAAGAAATTAACATATCAAGTGAAATGTATTTGTGGAAACTTTGAAAGTTAAAGGAAATTAAATATTGATGTTTTTTTCTTGCCCATGTATATATTATTGTGCTATGATAATATAAATTCCTATTGAGGTTGCTAGGTTAGGTTAGGTTGTAAGGTTGGCTAGTGTTATTAGATCCTAATTAATTTAAGTTAATTAATACACTTTCGCGCCCTCGGCAAACATTAAAAAAAAACTATCGCATTGTGTGCGCAGCGTTTTGGGCTCTTGAGCGTCAACACCGAAAAGTGTATAATCTTTTCACTCTCCTGACATTAATTCTCAAGCTACGTATTTCATTTTGGTAGCAATGTGTTCGCAATAAAATTCTCTAGAACATTATATGTATAAAACGTCACCAAATTATGAGCTATCCCACCACGAAATAAAGAACAACGTAGATCACTTGCCGTGAGCGCCAAACAGCAACAAAATGTTTCTACTCTTTTGTTGGTTGTCAACTCCAGACTTGTCCTACAGCGTTAAGTTTGGTATCACTGAACTCGCAATAAAATTCCCTACGCAGACATATGCCTATAAATGTAGAATCATTGAAGCGATTCAC